TGGACACTGGTGAAACAAAGCCAAATATGACCCAGGCCCTACTCTTATGAAGTAAACAATCTGTAAGAACATACAGACAGACACCACGATGTGGCAAATGCACAGTTTGGAATTGCCTGCAAACCGTAAGACAACAAAAATAGCTCCCACTGACGCAGCATCCTACAGAAAGCTTTCCCATGTTTTCTGGTAGCATCTTTACAGTAACTGAATGGGGTGGAGGCAGGAAAGAGATTTTTATCAGCCCTGTTTCATAGGCAATCTCTGAGACTGAGTGAGGGTCAAGAAACTTGCAGCTGATAACTTCTTGACCAGATGCTTTCTTGAATATCTTTAGAGGTAACAAACTTTCATCCTGTAAAGATGGATTTAACTTTGGGAATACATCAAAAGTCAGTTCAGTGCTAGGTCTAGTAAGGAAGATAAGAAATCAGATTGAGAGATCCTGCTCCTCTGGGTTGAAACTCGGGCGCCGCCAAGATGCCGGCTTACCACTCTTCTCTCATGGATCCTGACACCAAACTCATTGGAAACATGGCACTGTTACCTATCAGAAGTCAATTCAAAGGACCTGCCCCCAGAGAGACAAAAGATACAGATATTGTGGATGAAGCCATCTATTACTTCAAGGCCAATGTCTTCTTCAAGAACTATGAAATTAAGAATGAAGCTGATAGGACCTTGATATATATAACTCTCTACATTTCTGAGTGTCTGAAGAAACTCCAAAAGTGCAATTCCAAAAGCCAAGGTGAGAAAGAAATGTATACACTGGGAATCACTAATTTTCCCATTCCTGGAGAGCCTGGTTTTCCACTTAATGCGATTTACGCCAAACCTGCAAACAAACAGGAAGATGAAGTGATGAGAGCCTATTTACAACAGCTAAGGCAAGAGACTGGACTGAGACTTTGTGAGAAAGTTTTCGACCCTCAGAATGATAAACCCAGCAAGTGGTGGACTTGCTTTGTGAAGAGACAGTTCATGAACAAGAGTCTTTCAGGACCTGGACAGTGAAGGGAGCTCGGGCAGCCACCATCTCCAGATTCCTGGGCAGCATTTTCCAGCAAGATATACACAATCTTTTGCCTTTATTTCATAAAGTTTTATACAGAAGAGAGAAGAGCATGTCTTTACTTGAGCAACTCTTGATCAAGAATTCGGGTAGGAGAAAAGAAAGTGTGTTATCAAGGGTGATTTGAAATTTTCTGCAGTATTAAGCTGGCGCTTAATAAGAATACATAATAATAAAGAAATTTCTAACAACAAAAAAAAAAAGAAATCAGATTGAGTAGTGCTTATTTTGGAGCATAAAATTAAAAAAATGCAACCATAAAAAGACGTGAACCCAGGCTGGACACTAAAGAAATTCCAAAAGAGAAATTCCAGAAAGGTATTGAGCAATGTGGTAGCATCTTTGGGAAAAGGCACCACTCTTTTAGGTGAATGCTTACTTACGGAAAAAAAAAAAAGCATTAATTTCCACTATAAATTTTTATCTTTTTATTGCCTTTAGTTGGTGCTATCTAAAATCTCATTCCCAGTTTCTTCTCATTCTTCTTAATATAGGGTTGCTAAGCAGGGACACTTCATTCAGCTGGCAGTCCAAAAGGAGCAGAGCCAAGGGCCCATAGCCTGCCTCTGGATATCTGGCAATTTCCTCTCAGGCATCAAATTACTAAGGACTACTTTGTGGTCTATAATATTCAGGTCTTTCCTGCTATATATATTTTTCAAAAATGCAAATGTAGCCATGAAAACTCTCCTGTTCTAAATCCTTTGGTGACTCTCCATTATCTACACAAATCCTTTGGGACTCTCCATTGTCCCAAACTCCTAATGTGGCCTTTATGATCTGGCTTTTGCTTCCCTCTCCAATCTGTTACATCTCCTTCCCCCATCACGTCTTATGCTCCAGACATCTTAATTCTTTGAAGTTTCCCGAACAAATCCCTGCACTCCCCTTCCTCGCTGCCTCTCTATACACTATACACTTCTCTCTCTCCAGTTAGCTGAGGTGTCATCTCCATCTTAGAAATGGTTCCTGATTCCTTTCTTGGTCTGTCCCACTCTTTGTCTCCCAGGGTTAAGACCCTCCTCTGGTTTTGCAGAGAATCTTGAATATCTCTTTGGTTTATTCTTCCTCATACTACAGTGTAACTGCTGTCTCCCTACTAGGCTGGAGGTGCTCTTGAGGGTGGCAGCTTTGCTTTTTTGTTGAGATGGGATCTTGCTATGTTGCCCAGGCTGGGGTGCAGTGGCTATCCAAGTATTCACAGCACACTACAGCCCTTCTGGGCTCAAGTGATCCTCCTGTCTCTGCCTCCCAAGCAACTGGGACTATAGACATGTGCTACTACACCCAGCTCTATGATGGCTCTGTTATTGGCCTTTGTACCAGCACTAGTCACCAGTGCTTGGCAAGAAGAATGCCCTCAATAAATGGGTGCTGAATAAATAAATGTTTCTGAGTAGCCAGCCACCACCAAAACCTTTGACTAGAATTCTGGTTTTGTTTACCTTGCTCCTTGATAGTATTAATACATAATTCCAAATCACTTAGCAATTATGTTTATAAACTCTTACTGGATAATGCCAGAGGAAAGGCTAAGTTACTAAAAAAGCTGAAACAAGATATTTCTACTACTTCTAACTTTATGATATGAAAATCCAACAGTTATCTTTCTCAAATGGAGCAGTTAAACTGCTTGAAGACCGACATCTGTCTAGTGTATGATTAGCCTTTGAGGTGGGAGAAAGTACATATATTGTCCTCAGATAGCCTTCCCCATGCAGGTTGAAAGACCTTGCCATTCTTTATGAAACTTTGCCATATACAAAATTTGTCTCTGTACTGTGTTAGTGTACTGTGTTGACAGCTTCTCATTTCTCTGTTAAGTTAGAATTCTAAGAAACCTAATAAAATAGCTCCTAGTTATTACTTAAGATTATCATTCTATGGGACTATGGATTACAAACTTAAATGAATCTGATTTAAATTTTTTTAGGGGTAGGGGAAGTGTTGAAAGGAGACCAGTCTTTTTATTTTTAAATAAAAATCTCAGCAAGACCAAACAATTTTTGTTTTGCTCACATTTGATCCTTTGAAAGGACCGTACCCTGCTCTGTAGCATAGATGGGCCGCAGCATACTTTTGTCTACATGACATCTCTGGGACGCCCTTCCACCTCCTTCCCACTGGTGTATATCCCTGTTTGTTTTCAAAGCCCAGTTTAATTCCCATTTCCTCCTAAAATTCTTTTTTTTTTTTTGAGATGGAGTTTCGCTGTTGTTACCCAGACTGGAGTACAGTGGCACAATCTCGGCTCACCGCAACCTCCGCCTCCTGGGTTCAAGCAATTCTCCTGCCTCAGCCTCCTGAGACTACAGGCGCGCACCACCATGCCTAGCTAATTTTTGTATTTTTTAAGTAGAGACGGGGTTTCACCTTGTTGACCAGGATGGTCTTGATCTCTTGACCTTGTGATCCACCCACCTCAGCCTCCAAAAGTGCTGGGATTATAGGTGTGAGCCACTGTGCCCAGCCTCCTCCTAAAATTCTTTTCTGACTTCCCTGGAACTCAGGATCTGTGCCTACCTTTGAATTTCTTTAACACCTTCTATGAAATTTCTGTGGTATGCATTCAGACGCCCTGAGTTTGATTTGAGTTACATTCGGTCACTGTGACTGGAAAAAGTCACATTGCTTCTTAGGCCTCTGCTTCCTCATCTGTGAAGAGGGGTGGTAATGTACACCCTGTTTACCTGATGTGGCCTGAGGATCAAACATCATGCATTTAAAAGGGCTTTGCAAATGGCAAAGTGCAGTCCAAACATTTATTATCATTTTAACATATGTCTTTTAACTTTGTGTCTTAGTTATCTTGGGCTGCCATAACAAAATACCACGGACTGAGTGCCTTAAACAATAGCAATTAATTTTCTCGCAGACAGAAATCCCAGATCAAGGTGGCATCAATCACCGTCTGGTAAGGGCTCTCTCCTCAGATCACAAATGATTGCCTACTCACTGTGTCCTAACATGGGCTTTCCTCAGTATGTGCCAGAGAGAAACAGTTTTAGTCTCTTCCTTCCTTATGAGGACACTAATCACAACATGGGGATAGGGGGCACCCTCACGACCTCATTTAAACCTAAGTAACTTCCTACTAAAGGCCCCACGTCCAAATACCATCATATTGGCAATTAGAACTTAAACATATGAATTTTAGGGAGAGACAATTCAGTCCCTAATAGTGTGTCTATGTGTTGCATATAAACTGTGTTTATGTGAATATTTACATTTTTATAATACTCTATTATATGGCTACTGTGATTTGAATATGGTTTGTTTGGCTCTGCCAAATCTCATGTTGAAGTTTGATCCCTAGTGTTGGAAGTAGGGCCTGGTGGGAAATGTCTGGGTCATGGGGGTGGATCCCTAATGAAAGGTTTGAAGCTGCTTTTGTGGTAATAAGTGAGTTCTCACTCTATTAGTTGTTATAAGAGATTCCTTGAGTACTGGCTGTTAAAAATAATCTGGCACCTTCCCTTTCACTCTCATTCCCCTCTCATCATGTGATCTGCATATGCCACCTCCTCTTTGCCTTTCACCATGAGTAGAAGCAGCCTGAGGCCCTGACCAGAAGCAGATTCTGGTGCCATCCTTATTGCACAGCCTGGAGAACTATGAGCCAAATAAGCCTTTTTAAAAAAATAAAAATAAAATAAGTTATACAGCATCAGGCATTCCTTTATGAAAATATAAATGGGCAAAGACAACTACATATCCCTTTCAAAGTATTTTGTGTACCTCATCATACACATACAACTTATTTGATCCCAACTCACCTTGGAGGTTTATGTGTATATTTCTAAATATGTGCTGTTTACACTAGACTTAAGCCATTCAGAGGGCAGACACTATATATAGAATCAAAGAATTATAGAAATTTTATTTTATTTTTGTAACTTTCATAGCTTGAGCAATATGCATTCACCGTTTTTGTTTTCCTTTTGGCAAAGTAGGACAATCCTAAGAGGCAAGAAGAAAAAGTAAACAAAAATTACTATAACTCATCAAGAACTACTGTAATACATAGGTGCATCACTTCCTACCTCAAGACTATGTAAATATCCACCTGTCTGTTCTTCTAGCACTTTCTTCTTTTTTCATTTGTTAATCTTTAATCAATTCAGAAGTTTGTTTTAGTATATTGGGTTGGGTAAAGTTCTCATTTAATTATTTTCCCAAAATGGCTACCTCATTGTCCCAATTTCATTTCTTGAATAATCTACCCTGTACACTACACTGCCGCTTTAATTATTGTAACTCTGTAGTATACTTAGGCATCTGACTGGGAAAGATCATTACCCTGTTACTCATTTTTAAACATATGTTTCAAAATTTGTGTAGTTTTTAATAGACTATTTTTTGGACAGTTCAGATTTACACAAAATTGAGCAAACAGTACAGAGAGTTCTTATACCCTCAAACTACTCTGCTCTATTACTAGTGTCTTACATTAGTATGGTACACTTGTTATACTCAATGAAGCAATACTGATAGATTGTTATTAAGTAAAGTCCAAAGTTTATTTATATTTCCTTAGTGTTATGGACCAAATTGTGTTCCTGCAAAATTCACACACTGAATTTTGCATACAAATATACTATGCGACCATATTTGAAGAAAGGGGCCTTTATGCAGGTAATTAAGATTAAATAAGGTCATAAGTGTGGGACACCAATCCAATGGGACTTGTAGCTTTATAAGAAAATGATGAGACATGAGGAGCATGTGTGCACAGAAGAAAGACCATGTGAGGATACAGCAAGAAGATGGCTGTCTGCAAGCCTGGAAAAGAGACCTCACCATAAACCAACCCTGCCAGCATCTTGATCTTGGACTTTCAAGTTACAGAACTATGAGAAAATAAATGTTGTTTAAGCTACCCGGTCTGTGTTATCTTGTTTATAGCAGCCCAAGCAGAGCAATACCATTAGCTTTTACTTAATATCCTCTTTCTGTTCCTGAATCCCATTCACGATGCCATATTACATTTGGTTATCACGTCTCCTTAGCCTACTCTTGGCAGTGGTGAGTTCACGGAATTTCCTTGTTTTTGATCAGGAATACTGGTCAGATGTCACAGGGCTGCAATTCGACATTTTTCTCATGATAAGACTGGGCTTATGGGTTATTGGGAGAAAGGCCTTAGATGTAAAATGCCATTAACATACATCATTTCAAGGGCAACATGATTTATGACTGTTAATGTTGACCTTGATCACTTCACTGAGGTAGTGCTTGTCAGGTTTCTAGACTGCAAAATTAATCCTTTTCTTTTCTTTTTTTTTTTTTTTTAAACAAACATATTTTAGGTTTGGGGGTATATGTGAAGGTTTGTTACATAGATAAACTCATGTCATGGGGGTTTATTGTGCAGGTTATTTCATCATCCAAGAATTAAGCCCAATATCTAATAGTTATCTTTTCTGCTTGAAGTTACTCTTTTACTTATTGCTTTCCACATTGTACACTTTGAAAAGAAGTCACCATTTCCTAAGGAGTGACAAATTATGTTTCCCTGCTCTTTTTATTATAACATTTTGTGGCTATATTTGTTTGCATGTTTCTCTCCCTCTTTCTACTGGTATTTTTATTTGAATTATATTAGGTTTTTGTTAAAAATTAAGTATTCTAGAAACATAGTATATCAATGTACTCCTTTAATAGGTTGCAGTTTTCTTAATTTTACATAAAGATTTGAATAAATCTTTATAAAGGTTATTCCAAATAATTTATATTTGCTGAGTTAGAGTCTTAAAAATTATGTTTTCTAAGTGGTTATTTCAGAGCAACTATGACTTTTTGTGTACTTATTTTGTATCTGCCCACAATACTGACCTCTTAGAACTTTTGGTAGATAGCCTTGCATTCTTTCAATATGCAAGTAACTTAGCTTCCTCTACTCCGTTTTACAAATGAGCAACCAAAGAGAAGCTACTGAAGGTCTCAGAATTAGTTGCCAAGCTGCAGCCAGATTCCTAGTTCATTGTCTGGAAAATTTGGAAGCCTAAATATGACTAATACTTTTACAGGTACTTTTGCGGCTATTAAAAAACAAAGACCAAAGCCATTTGTTCTGGAGAATTGCTGACTATGCTAACAAACATTTGGCACTTATTAGAATGTTAATAAATCACAAGCAATACAAAAATCACAAAGGTTTAGATTCATTTCAAATGAATTAATTAAAACAAGTTATATAAAGAATGATGACATTATTAGCCCTAAATATCAAAACTAGTTTTTTTCTCCTATGATTCAGGGTTCACTTTGGCTACTGTTTAAAATATAAATGGCTGTTTCGTTTTACACTTTCTTATGATTTCTACAGTATATTTTATAATATTACTCGGATGCTTTTATTTCTATATTTTATAACTATCAAAATGTAATTTTTAGGGAAAGCCTTATGAATATTTAATTTTAGGGCTTTTCTCTATTACTGATTACAAGTAACTTAGGGTTCTATTTTCACAAATGCTCAGTTCTTTAGGAATTAAGAAACTCCAGGATTTAGAGAGGTTTGTTCCACCCACTCCAGTGCTAGCGTGTGTTGTCCAGGGAACAGGGGATCAGACTGCTTCATCTACTGCTGTTAGCACCTATGCATGTTGTCTGGGCACCTGAGGACAGGCCTGCCCTGTCTGTCACCACCACTGGTATCTGCACACATTATCTGGGGTCTGGGGACCCACTGCCATGGGCACTCATATGTATCATCGAGGGGCCTGAGGTTTGGCATGTTCTGTCTGCCATGGCCATTGCCAATGCCTGCAGGTGCATCTGGGGTCTGAGGACAAATCTGCCCTGCTACTACCACAGGTGCATGCACATTAGCATGCCACTCTGGGGTCGGGGATCAACTTTCCCCACTGCCACCAATAGTGTCTGCATACATCATCTGGGGGTGTGGGGATTAATCTGCCCCACCCATAGCCACTGCCATGAATGCCCAAATGTGCCATCTGGGAGCCTGGGTACCATTTTGTCACTCCGGCTGATGCTGGTGCATGCCAATCAGGAGCTTGAGGATAGGCCTGCCCTGCCTGCTACTGCCACTACTGGTACCCAAGGATCAGCCCACCTGGTATCCCTGTACCCAAAGAAGCCTCACCACAGTCTATGCTAACAAATGCAGCCTAATCACCAAGGAACTCAGACAACACTGAAGCTGATCACAGGATAAGAAGTCTACACTACTGCACCCACCCAGAAGCAGAGCTGAAGCACCCTATCCAATAAACAGTATATATATATATATATATAAAATACACACATATATGTATATATATATAAAATACACACATATATGTATATATATACATGTGTATATATATATGTGTGTGTGTGTGTTTATGTGTGTGTATTATATATATGTGAAAAAGTCTTTCCCTACGAAAGCCAATCCATAAAAATGAAGGAAGCAATCGATAGACCAGCTGTGCATGTATCAATGTAAGGACACAAGAAACATGAAAAAGCAAGAAACATGACATCCTTAAAGGAACAGAATAATGTTCCAGTAACAGATAACAAAGAAAGGAAAATTTGTGAAGTGATCAAAATAAAGATATTAAATTAACTGAGATAAAAGAGAACAGAGATAAACAATACAAAGAATTCAGAAAAACAATTCATGATCTGAATGAAGAATTCAACAATGAGATAGATGCCATATAAAATTATCAAAAAAAGGGTCTAAAACTGAAGAAATCAATGAATGAAACAAACAAACAAACAAACAAAAATGATTGAGAGCTTCAACAATAGACTAGAGCTGGCAGAAGAAAGAATTTCTGTTGAAAACATGAACCCAATTAGACTGTTCCCCACTTTCCCCCACAAATGCCTATATAATCATGAGGTGTCCAAATAAGAATTCTGGGAATTTCAGAAGAAGAAGAGATGGGCAAAGGCATAGAAAATATATTTAACAAGTAATAGCTTAGTAGAAAACTTCACAAGTCTTGCAAGAGGTATAGACATCCAGATATGGAAAGCTCAAGGACTGCCACATACATTCAACCCCAAAAGCCACATTATAATCAAACTGTCAAAAGTGAAAGACAAGGCAAGGCATGGAAGCTCATGCCTGTAATCCCAGCACTTTGGGAGGCCGTGGCGAGCAGATCACTTGAGACCAGGAGTTCAAGACCAGCCTGGCCAATATGGTGAAACCTTGTCTCTACTAAAAATACAAAAATTAGTTGGGCATCGTGGTGGGTGCCTGTAACCCCAGCTACTTGGGAGGCTGAGGCATGAGAATCACTTGAGCTGGTGAGGCAGTGGTTGCAGTGAGCCAAGATCACACCACTGCATTCTAGTCTGGGCAACAGAGTGAGATTCCGTCTCAAAAAAAAAAAAAAAGAGAAAAAGAGAGAACTCAACAAACACCAAGAGAAAAGCATCAAGTCACATATAAGAAAACATGTATCAGACTATCAGCAGATTTCTCAGCAGAAAACGTACAGACAGGGAGAGACTGGGATGATACAGTCAAAATGCTAAAGAAAACAAATAGTGCTAATGAAGAAGACTGTACCCAGCAAAGCTATCTTTCAAAAATGAAGAAGAAATAAAGTCTTGTCCAGACAAACAAAAACTGAGGAATTTCCCCACTAGACCACAACTGCAAGAAATGCTTAAGGGACTGGCATACCTGAAAACAAAAGGACAACATCTACCATCATGAAAACACATGGAAGCACAAAACTCACTGTAGAGAAGATGCACAAATGAAAAAGAGAAAGGAGTCTAGCATTGCCACTACAGAAAATTGTGAAACTGCCATAAAAAATAAGAGAAGGAAAAGGAAACAGTAATAATATAAAACAAGAGGAAGAAAGGATATACAAAACAACCATAAAACAATGAACAAATGACAGGAATAAATCCTGACCTATCAATAATTATCTCAAATGTAAACACATTAAATTCCCTGCTTAAAAGATAAAGACAGACTG